ATCGATACGACGATGTATCGTCACAGAGATTTGACGATACGAGTATCGATGCAGCTGGCCCTGTATCGATATTGTGGCACGTGTGCAGCAGTAGACCGCGCTTAATTTGAATACAAGAGCACTGTTTAAAATTGAGCAGAAAAGTGCGAGGTTTCTAAAAAATAATGAATAGAGCATAATATATAGGCTACAACAAGGTTTAATCTGGCCGCAGAGGAACACAACTGGGTTGCCTGATATAAAGAGACGTAATCCCCGACGCAGAGTTTATACGGAAATATCTACTAAGTGTGCTACTTATCTCTGTCAACCTGGCAACCATGTGCACACGCTCTCTCTCTCCACTGTGGATAAACTCGCTTGCTTTCTGAAAACACCGGTTAGCTTGCAGTTTAGCGATCTCCACTTCAATATTATATTCTCAGAAAATTGTAATTCATCGAGTGTTCATTTATGAGAGAGAGAAAGAGAGAGGCTGTGTATGTATGAATTACCACCGTTTTGCCGCGTTTCTCTATTAACAGTAAAGCTGTGGCTTTAATTCCTTTAGAAACAATGATGTTACCAGCTCCTTGTTGAGAAAGATAATGTAGCTCTTGAGCGATTAAGATATTTCGTTGATAAAATTGCGGGGCAGCGCTAAAAAGTTTGTTCCTGAATGTCTGAGTGCGGCAGCAACGTGATCTGCGTGAGTGACTGAGCGTGTGTGTGCGTGAGATACAGTGAAGACAGCGCATTAGTTTAGAACTCTTCTAATTTAAATTTTTATTTTTAATCGTAGAGAGTGTGCTAATTTGTGCAATGATAACCTACCAGCAATGTAAATATTATTTTTTTTTATATATTAGAATGAGCACATTGCAATATAAATTTATTAGAACGAGTACATTATTATTTATGGGCTTAAAAACAAGATGCAAACAATCAGAATATTGTACCTGGTGGGAAGTGCCCAATTTGTAAACATGAAACATATGCCATTACCTGTATTGTACTGTGGTACAGTTATGGAGGCCCTTCATAATGCAGAGGTCAACTGCCTGCTCTGCCAATAGTTAGAAATGACCCTATAGTAAGCAGTGTTTAATAAACAGCTGTTTTACTAAATTCTTCTGAGGTAAAATTCAGTGCAGTCCTGTACCGTGATACGTATCGTATCGTGGTCGCTGTATCGTGATACGTATCGTATCGTGACTTTGCTGGTGATACACAGCCCTAGTTAAAACATTCAAATAGATCATTTAAATTGACAGTATTTCACAATATTACAGTGTTTACTGTATTTTTAATAAATAAATGTAGCCTTTGTGAGCATAACAGACTTTCCAAAAAATTTTTTAAAAATTAAAAAAAAAAGGGATGGGGATGGGGGGCCTTGAAAATATTTTTCTCAACAAAAGGGGGGCCCGCCAGAAAAAGTTTGGGAACCACTGGCCAACTCAAACACACAATATTTAATTTAATTTAATTTAATTCATACAGGCCTACCTCATGTTGCATGTTTGCACTTTTTGAGAAAAACAATGGCACAATAAAAAAAAAGACTTTCAGGTCTATGTCCAATCCCTCACTTTTTCTAGTTATATAAGGGTAAAATATTTTGCCTGTAATTCTTTTTCTCATATTGCAATATAATATCGATATCGCCTGGACAGTGTAAAATATCGTGATATGAATTTTAGCTCATATTGCCCACCCCTACTAGAGATGGAGGATTGACACAAGCGACATGGACTTTGACATGTTCCCTTCAGAAGAAAAGCTGAACTAATGAAAGGTGGCAAAGAAGGACTAGAAAGAAACTAGGTAAGAAACAATTTTCTGATGGCCTCCCTCAGGCCATTGACCCACAAAGAAATCACCATTTAATCATTTCCAACCCAAAAAGTGTCTGATGGAAAAAATGCTTGCGCTATATGAATAGAGATGGTCCTAGAAATGGGTCATTCTGATTAAACATCAGGATGCATACATTATTGACTTTCGCAGCTGCAGTCAGACTCCCCTCACCTTTTCACCAATAAATTTCCAAGAGTCTTCCATGCATTTATGATTACTGATTGACAGATTGGTCTGAATGACCAATCATTTCATTAGCAAATGAATCTGAATTTGAATTATTTTTTTAAATAATTATTAGTGTTACTGAATTAATTATTTGCTAATCATTAACAATTTTAATGATTTTTAAAAATCATTTAAATTCTGATCAATTCATTAATTAATCATTCAAGCTCATCTGTGAATCAGTTCAAAATGATTTTTAAAAGTAATTTAAATTCAAATCGATTTATGAATTATTTAGACTGATTTGTGAATTATTTAAAAAATCATTTAAATGTAAGACTCGAAAGATCAACTCATTCAAAAATCAGACATCACAGTTGCCTTCAAGCAAACTTTACAGTAACACTTTACAATAAGGTTCCTTAGCTAATGCATTTAGCTAATAATTTGTTAATTAATGCATTAACTAATATTGCTAATAAGCAATACATTTGTTACAGTATTTATTAATCTTTGTTAATGTTAATTAATAAAAGTACACCTATTCATTTTACATGTTAGCTCAGGTCCATTAATTAATATTAGTCAGATAAAACTTTGGATTGTAAAATTGTATTAGTAAATGTTGAAATTAATATAAACCGAGATTAATAAAAGTATTTTTCATTTTTAGTTGACTAATGTAGTTGTTACTAATCTTAACAAATGGAACCTTATTGTGTGTTACCAGCTTTACTATACACAGGAGCAATTTTAGCCAATTAAATAATTTACAGCAAATAAAAGCTAGAAAAATGCATATTCATAATAAAAATTCAATCATTTTCATGAGCTTTTAATATTCTCCATTATTTTTGTGTCTGGAAAACACATGTAAAATCTCCGGACAGAAACCCTGTGCAGCAGAACAAAGCAGATGTGTAGGTGTGGTGAACATGAAACCTACAAGACATACAGTATAATGAATGAAGACCAGAACACCACAAAATGCACAGCCAAAGCATTTTCCTTCCAGTCTTATGATTACTACCACACACATTCATACAGCCTCAGAATGGAGGTGTACTCTACAGCACTCTCAGTGCGGTATGTTGACTCTGAGATGTCTCGAGGCAGCGGGGCTGCTTGAGCAATTGAGAGAAGTTCACCTTTGATTGGCTAAGCTACCCATAAACACAGGCAACTGTCACGGTGTCATTCACTCAGTGTTACCTGATGCGCTTGTATTGTTGAGATTTGTGTTAAGTAAGTGTTAAGTACGTCAGCCCTCTGCACCACCCCATCACCTTCCCCCTGTCTTATAAAGCTAACCATAATTCCTTTTGTCCTATAGCTGACCTGGCTGTATCACAGAACAACTCAACTTTCTGATGATAAAAATAGAGTACATATTCTATAAACTATCAATGAGATGGTCCAGAACAGCTTAAATATACATAAACGCACATGAACATTGACTAAAACAAGTTCTATTAAATATCAATTTCGTCAAACCGTCTCTGTATAGAATGGCTTATAAGTAGCTGATTTTTTCTAGCTTTATCAATCATCTTAGATGGATTTGTTTTAATGAGCTTGACTCAATGCATGGAATTATAGAATTAAGCTGGGGGTATTTTGTAGCATGCTAACTAATAAAAGATCATCACAGGGCTAAATTTCCATCTTTGCCACTCCATTTTTAAATGTTTATTAATTAGAAAGTGTCTTAAGCACCGGAAAGGTGCTATATCAAATAAACGAATTACTAGAGAAACTGATATTACTACAGGTGCGCTCTGTAGGGATGTTTTGAATGTTTTTTGCAAAATACTCGATAATGTCAAATCGCACATCGTTAAAACAACAATTACGATATTATCGCAGACGATATATATCGCACACCCCTACTGGAGACTTGTCTCGTATGAATATAATCTTATTGTAATTATAATTATTTATTTACATAATTCTTTATGTAATATATTTTAAAAATGTTATGGAGTGCAATTTTGACTAAAAAATCTTGCAAAAGAAAACACTGGTATTCTAGCACTTAATTTTTATACGTTCAGGCAGCACAGAAACTGGAGTCACAGCATGCCATCTAGTGGCTACTAGGAGTATTTCATGCATCTGCTGTAGTAATGGAATAGTTTATAAAATAGAAAATATCGCGATAATGTCTGCCATTCTTTAAAACCAATTTGTTTGTTTATTTAATTGTATTCTATGTAACTCAAATAAAAGTATTTAAAGAAATTTTACACAGCCTGTTTGATACAACCGCGTGTGTCAAGGTCCAAAAACGACAACAACAAAAAACACCCACAAAAAACACAAAAGTATAATAAAAGTAACGTTAGTCCATAAGACCCCTTTGTATATGATGGCAAGATATTTAATTTTGGGTGAACTATACCTTTCAGATACCCTTGAAGCACATTAGTCCAAATTTTGAGAAATCTCATTAACCTCCAGCTGGCCGTTTTTTAAATAATAAGGCAACATCTTTGTCTAAGTGCAAAAGTATGAGGCATAGGTAAAGTAGCACAGTTCAGCTCAGTAAAAATGACAAGGTGTACAAATATAATGGGTAACGTTAGCAATATAATTCACCATTAATGCATTTCATATTCATAACAGCTTGCTTTATTCTGAAGCGGAACTTATATTTCTATTTGATTGCTATTGCTGAATTGATATTGCATAGGCTACAATGATGTTGTGCTTATCTTTCTAAAGAACTTGACACAACAGCACCACTCAAACAATTGGTTCATTATGTTTCTGTGTATATTGTAGCACATTATGTGAAAAGTAGGATTTAACTTACCTGTTTGATGGTAGAAATTAATATTCGGAGGCTGGCAGTCAGTCAGTCGATGGCAACCCTAAAAAAACTTTTCCACAATTTGCTCTTCGGACTTGTCAGTGTTATAGACTACAACGATGGACTCGTTTTAAAAGTTCACTTTCTTGTCATGTTAGTGTTTCATTGACAAATTTTACATCGCAAGCGTTACTAATTCCAGAAACTGACTGCGAATTGCATGAAATTGTGATTACTTCACTGACACGAACGCTCGCGCACAAACCTATCACGTTCACAGTTAACAGCCAATCACGTGTTTAAGAGTCCGCGCGATTTATTTTTTCTCTGAAAATCAAAAAATCATTATGGAACAAATATATGAAAAATGTAAACACACTTACACATCAATATGATTATTATAAAGAAAATAAAGCACGCATTAATTTGGAGGGAGAGAAACAAATCTGAGGAATTTTTTTTGCGTCAAATGTGTGCTCAAAGCTGATTGGTCCAATATACAGCTATTGAACCAATCAGCTGTGAGCACATCTTCACGCAAAAAAAAGTGTTGTGTGACGGTCTATGCTGAAAACATATGGGCTTACATTTCTGCCACAATTCTGCGAGCGAAAGATCATATTTTGAGCGCACAAAAGTGCATTTTGCATGCGCGCGATCTGAGTTTGTGGAGAAAATGTTCGTTTCGCAAAGAAAAAAGTCTTTCGAGCGCACGGAAATCAATTTTGCATTTAAAATACGTTTTTGGATGTGTGCAGACTTTCTCTTTTGCGCGTGCAACGTTTCACTAGCTTGCTCACCTATGGAAAGCCAATGGGTCAGAATTCGCACGCTTTTCACCGCCGTATCAATATTAAAACGCCGTTTTCATAACGTTAAATAAGAG